CCTATCGGATCTTCACCGATTCACCAATATTTCACTGTTTTCAATAGAAAACAGCCACCAACAATGAAAAAGCTGAGAGAAAAGGGAGAAAACTTTGGAAAAAACAATAGCAAATAATTGTATTTCCTTAGTAGATGATAAAAATCAAAGCAAGATACAATGTTCTTCAATTCGAGAGGAAGAACAACTCTCCAACAATCTCCGGCCACGCCAAGAGCCCAAGCAAGAAAAACCTAGAACACAAAACTCCTTTCAAAATCAAGATGAAAACCTAATCCCCTCATAACTCCCTATTAATACAATCTAATACAAAATAAAAGCAAAAGGACTTCTCTACCCTTCCTTCTCCCTCCAAAAACACTTAAACCATGTTTGAATTGCAAGTGGACCCCACCCCAGCCCCCTTTCCTCCTTCCGCCTGGTCTCTGGGCCGTCTCCGCCTGGAGAAAACCCGGACCGGCTGGGCTGGTCCAGGTTGAGCCGGTCCATGCTGGACTGGCATAACATTACCCCCCTCCCAAAGTACCACCTTGTCCTCAAGATGGAAGGCCGGAAACTGCACTGCAATCCTCTCCAATGGCTCCCATGTGGCCTCATAATCTGGGAGGCCGCTCCACCTAATCTTCACTTCCTTTTCCCCCTTTTCATTGATGCGCACTATATATATATATATATATATTAAGTTAAGTGTTGGTCATTAAAAGAAGAGAATAATATTAAGTGTTGTAGAGATGAGGATGCTCAGGTGGATGAGTGGCTTTACTCTTAAAGACAGGAAACAAAATAAGCATATATATGAAAAGGTTGGAGTAGCTCCGGTGGAAGATAAGATTAGAGAGAGTCGTCTTAAATTGTTTGGTCAAATAAAATGGAGGCCTTTTGATGACCTAGTTAGAAAAGTATAAGTATTAGATTTGACTTATGTTAAGAAAAGTAGAGGTAGACCTAAAAGACATGATTAAAAAAATATATTAGAAATGATCTTTATTTATTAGATTTAGATGAGAATTTGACTCTTAATATGACACGGAGAAAAAGGATTCATGAAGCGAACTCCACAGTGGGATAAAAGTTTGTTGTTGTTGTTGTTTCCATGGGGGGAGGTCAACCATATAATACAAAATAAAAGAGAAGAGGTGAGGAAGAAGAGACAAGAAGATGGGAGAAGGAAGAGTGATATTTCGGTGAAATTTGTCCAAATTTTGAGCAGGTGAGCATTGTGATCAAGATTTGAAGCCACAGTAGTTGGACACAAATGAAATTAATGTTAAAAAGATTAGGTTTCAACAATCAAGCAGCAAAAGGATGGCCAACATTTTGAGAAAATCTAATAATTCCCATAGAAATGGAGAAGAATATGACATTTTTCCCACCCGCCTTCATCCTTCACAAAACTCTTTAATTCCAAAATCCAAACCAATAGTCCAGTTCACATCTTCCCACACAACCTTGCCATGGTTGAAGCACAATATTTAGGTTAGGTTCACAGCCAATGCATTGATTAGTTTTCCTTAGCATTTTTCCTCAACAAAAAGAAAACATGTCATCACTCTACATGCAAAATTATTACCTAAGGCTCAATGCTTAAGTATCCCTTGTGCTAAATCACACCTTTTAAGCTAAATTATGCATTAGCACTAAGATAGAATGCCAAGTTAAGACAAGCAAGCTCTATAGGGTTTTTATTTATGCCAAGCATTTTTAAAAATTGCTTATATACCGTCATTTGATGCAAAGATGAATGCTTGAAGTATACAAATAATTGAGGCATTTTCTCTATTGATAGATTGATAAAGAAGTGCTAAAAATTTTGAAATCTCTTTCAACCTCCATGGTCAACCCAAAATAAAATGAAAATCCTAAGGTTTCATTCCCAATTATCACACATTCATAATGCATCATGAAAAGCTTCATAATCATTTTTTTCAATGCATAAGCTTCATCATCACTCTTTTTCAAAGCAAGTGTGGTTACTCTCTTTAGTCTCTTTCCTTCTACTCTTTGCATTCCATATATTTCATTAATTTAGCTCTCTTCTTTCCTTTAAATCACATAGGTCTTGCACCCCTCGCCTTTTTCCTATCCCTAGAATTTACATCAAACCACCAATGTCCATGAGAAAAAACATTAAAGATAATTTTAGAGATTCATGAGATGCGTCTGTCCTTTTGAGTGACTCAATCCAAATCAACCAAATTTTATTATAAAGCTTAAATAAATGAAAATTCACTTATATCAAATTCAAATATATACCTACTACTAAGATATTAGATTTTGGATGGATTGAGGTGATTATGTAAATTAGCATTAAAAAAACAAGAAAAAGGGGAGCATTTTGATTAAGATTTCAAGCCACAATAGCTAGAAACAAATGAAATTAATGCTGAAAAGATTAGGTTTCAACAACCACACCGCAAAAGAATGCCCAAGGTTTTGAGAAAATCTAATAATTCCCATAGAAATGGGGACAAATGTCGCATTTTCCCATCCCCCTTCATCCTTCAAATAAATTCTTAATTTCAAACCAATAAAGTCCAATTTCACATCTTTCCATGCATCCTTGCCATGGTTGAAGCACTAAATTTAGGGTTCATGACCAATGCTGAGATTTATTTTCCTTAGAATTTTTCCTCAACAGAAAGAAAAATGTCATGCCTCTACATATAAAATTACAACCTAAGGCTCAATTCTTAAGTATCCCTTGCACTAAATCACACTTTTATGCTAAATTATGACTTAACATTACGATACAGTGCCAAGTTAAGATAAGCAAGCTCTATAGAGTTTTTCTTTATGCCAAGCATTTTAAAACTTATTTAATACCATCATTTGAGGCAAAGATGAATGTTTGAAGTATACAAACAATTGGGATATTTTCTATATTGACAGATTGACAAAGAAGTTCAAACCTCCATGGTCAACCCAAAATCAATTAAAAATCCTAAGGTTTCTTCCCCAATCACGATGCATTCATAATGCATCGTGAAAAGCTTCATAATCATCCTTCTCAATGCATAAGCTTCATTATCACTCGTTTTCAAAGCATTTGTGGTTACACTCTTTAGTCTCTTTCCTTCTACTCCATGTATTCCATATATTTCCTTAATTCAACTTTCTTTCTTTTTTTTTAATCTTTCTTATATACTTTTAAGCCATATACATCTGGAACCCCTCACCTTTTTCGTATCCCTAGAATTTAAATCAAACTTCCAATATCCATGAGGAAAAACCTTAAAGATAATTTTAAAGATTCATGAGACTCATCTGTCCTTTTGAGTGAATAATTCCAAATCAACCAAATATGATTATAAAACTGAAATAAATGAATATTCACTTATATCAAATTCAAATGCATACCTACTATTAATAAATTAGATTTTGGATAGATTGAGGAGCTTATGTAAATTAGCTTAAAAAAAGAAAGAAAAAAGGAAGCATTTTGATCAAGATTTCAAGCCAAAATAGCTAGAAACAAATGAGATTATTGATGACAAGATTAGGTTTCAACAATCATGCAACAAAAGAGTGCCCAAGGTTTTGAGAAAATCTAATAATTCCCATAGAAATGGGGACAGAGGTTGCATTTTTCCCATCCCCCTTCATTCTTCAAATAAATTCATAATTTCAAACCCATAGAGTCCGATTTCACATCTTACCATGCAACCTTTCCATGGTTGAAGCACTACGTTTAGGTTCATGGCCAACACTTTGATTTATTTTTCTTAGCATTTTTCCTCAACAAAAAGAAAAATGCCATCACTCTACACACAAAAGTACTACCTAAGGCAAAATGCTTAAGTATCCCTTGTGCTAAATCACACCTTTTAAGCTAAATTATACATTAACATTAAGATACAGTGCCAAGTTAAGCTAAGCAAGCTCCATAGGGTTCTTTATGCCAAGCATTTTTAAAAATTGCTTGTATACCATCATTTGGTGCAAAGTCGAATGCTTAAAGTATACAATTAGTTGGGGTATTTTCTCTTTGATAGATTGACAAAGAAGTACTAAACATTTTGAAATCTCTTTAAACCTCTATGGTCAATCCAAAATCAAATGAAAATCCTAAGGTTTCATTCCCAATCACGATGCATTCGTAATGCATCATGAAAAACTTCATAATTGATCTTGTCAATGCATAAGCTTCATTATCACTCTTTCTTAAAGCATGTGCGGTTACTCTCTTTAGCGGTTTAGCCTCTTTCCTTCTACTCCTTGTATTCCATATATTTCATTAATTCAGCTTTTTTCTTTCCTTTTAAGTTATATACGTCTTGCACCCCTCGCCATTTTCCTATCCTTTGCATCAAACCTCCGACACCGATGAGCAAAATTCTTAAGGATAATTTTAAAGATTCATGAGACTCATCTGTTCTATTTAGTGACTAAATCAAAATCAACCAAATCTGATTATAAAGCTTAAAAAAAGAAAATTCACTTATATCAAATTGAAATGTATACCTAATACTAAGAAATTAGATTTTGGATGGATTGAGGTGATTCCATAAATTAGCTTTTTTTTAAAAAAAAAAAAAAATTTATGAAATTGTGATCAAGATTTCAATCCACAATAGTTGGACACAAATGAAATCAATGCTGATATGATTAGATTTCAACAATCATGCAGAAAAAGACAGCCAAAATTTTGAAAAAATCTAATAATTCTCATAGAACTGGAGAAGGACGGTGCATTTTTTCCTATCCCCCTTCATCACAAAAATTCTTAATTCCAAACTAATAGAGTCCAATTTCACATCTTTCCATGCAACCTTGCCATGGTTGAAGCGCTCAGAATGGGTAAAAAAAAAGTGAATTGATAAACTTCTCTAGAGTTATCATTGATCTTGATATTGGGTTCTTAAAATGGGTCAAAATCACGAATCAGTAGGAGGGAATTCATGGAGATTCGATGCCATCCTCACATGGCAATCTGATTTGAAGAACGATACCCTCGAATTCTAATTAGGATGTTGATAGGGCATTAACAAGATAGAAACGGATCAACCCACATCAGCAATGAACTTACAAATCCGGGTTGTTGGCCGTCGTCTCTGCAAAGCTCGCCTTAAACGGGAAAAGCGAGTCTTTAATCCTGTCCAACACATCCGACGTATCAACATCGAAATAGGGCTTGTAAGCAGCCACCATGAACTTTCGCATCCACCCAGACTGCTGGGTATCGTCGGAGATTCCATTTGCTGGTCTCGAGAACGTATCTGCACATGAGTATGTCGCAGATCAGCTCGTTATTTGAAACGTAGAAAAAATGTAGAGGAAACGGAAGGCGATATCGAGAACGCAAAGCAACGAATCAGTACTAGTAAAAGACAGGGATTTACAAACCATCTGCATCGCTTGGTGGCTTGAAGACGCCAGTGATCTTGCCCTTCGCCTCGGACGTTGGAAACGAGTGAAGGTTAGACTCTGCAATGCCATGTGAAAATCCATCAAGATCTCGAAACCTCAATCGTAAACCCTATTCTCGAGCCGAATTCTCACCTGTGAATTTGACAGTGACGTGGTCAGAGCCTGATACCGCCTGCAGGCAAAGAAGAAGAACGATGGCGTGGATTAGATCCAAAACTCGCCGCTGTGAATTTTAGAGAGGAAGAGAGAAGGGGTATTGAAGGAGGGGGCGGATATACATACCGGTACGGATCCGGAGACTTTCTGGTTGTCGATTGTTGTGTAACCTCCGCCGGTCATCATCTTCCCGTCGCCGGTGGTCGGACTCTATGCTCCCCTTCTCTCCCTCTCCCTCCCGTTCTCTGTCTCTCTCTCTTTAGAGAACGACCTTTATTAGTGCAATTTCCTTCCACGGCTCCATACGTACATATTAGCTCAAATTTATTCGTTCTATTTTCATTAAGTAGGGTGACAAAATTGATTTTCGGGTTGAATTGGGATCCGAATTTGACCAACTCTTTTTTGACCTGATCCGAATATGACCTAATCAGTGTTTGGGATCAACATTCTTAATCCGAACCCGATCAGATTTTGCTTCAGGTCAACCTAACACGACCTAACTATCTGTTTAATGAGAAAAAAAGGTCATTCGAAACAAACTATTTAGTATATAAAATCAAATAAAAGTTAAGTAGGATTTACAATTTAACATTATATTTGTGTAATGTTAAAGATATATATGCAGGAGTTATTACTCGTGTTCAAACACAAGGTGGTCTGATCAAGGATTTCTCTATTTCGATTGGGTTACATCAAGGATCAGCTTTAAGCCCATATCTTTTTGCTTTAATCATGGATGTTCTCACTAGACATTTGCTAGAGGATGTACCTTGGTGTATGCTTTTTGGTGATGATATTCTTCTTGTTGATAAGACTAGAGAGTGAGCTGAAGGTAAACTTGAATTATGGAGGTCAACTTTAGAGTCTAAAGGTTTTCGCTTGAGTAGATCTAAAACAGAATATATGGAGTATAATTTTAGCAGTAATAGACCTAGTGAGGGGATTGTGACTTTGGGCGATCAAGTCATTAATAAGAGTACAGATATAAATTCAGCAACATCCAACTAAGAAAACATAAATAAATTCAGTAGCCATAAGCAATAAAACAACACTTATAACTCATTAGAGACCTTACAGTGTAACTTCCAGCAACAACATATCAGATTATCAGAGATCAAATTATGAAGCAGGTAATGATGTATAAAGGGATAACTTCCTACATAATTTGAATAACTAATTTCTAAAAGACATTAGGAAGACTTAAAAGTAATAGGCCAATAAAGCCATAACATAACAACTATAAGATAAGAGGCTATTGAATGTAAGAATCCAAGTCGGAGGCAGAAAAGCAACCAAATGTAAGCACCTAGCTAGATAACTGTACTTGATATATTCTCAAAAAAATCATCTTGATCGGGCACGAATCTCGACGCAAAAACCAACCAGAGAACTTCAAAAATTAAATATGGGAGCACTCGAATTCCAATTTCAGCAAGCTTACAGTCAAACTGAGCGTCTCGGAAATACGAACCCAACGACACCAAATTCAACTCAATCCGAGTCCAAATAAGTCTGAATCGAAGACTCGAAGTGATGTTGGAAGGTTCTAATCACAATTTGAGTTACCAAACGGTCTTCCATTTTAACGAGCTTATACTCGAATCGAACGGCTCGACGATACGAATCCAACGAGCCCAAGATCGTCGAATTCCGACATCACTAAGGCATTCAAATGTCCAACGAACGGTGCACGATCGAAGGGTTCAATATCGGCCGTCCATTCGACCACTCCCTATTCGCCCATGATCTCACACCTATTTACAAGCCATGCCACTCTAGAAAAACTATAAATACAGTCCTCATTCTTTACAAGGGGACTCAAGTGAGAAAAGAGAGAAGGAGAGAAGAGAAAAAGGGGAAAGGGAGAATCATCTCCTCCTCGACCACCGTCGGAGTTCTTTCCGCCGCCTGAATACGTCGGAACTCTGCCAGATTTTTGGGAGACGCCTGAATTCTGCAGAATTTTGTAAATTTGCTTCAAGTTAGAAGAAACGGATTGTAATCTGATCGTCCTGACTTGTGGGACGAATCAGATTCTTGTAATTTACAAAACGCTAGTGGAACTTTTCAGCTGGGCGTGACCCCGTGGTTTTTTCCCTCTTTCGGATTTTCCACGTAAAAATCCTGATGTTCATTTTCTTTTTTGTTTGTGTGCTGAATATTCGTGCAACGCCCAAACATGAATTTGTGACCAACAACAGCACAGCCAACTATCATCACTCAATATTTGTCATCAACTTTAACATTCTTATATTTATATAAACCACCACCACATGTATTATATATTTCTTATAGTATATTCACACATTTATAATCAAGGAATGTGCATGTACTGCATGTAGAATTATAATTAGTTGAATTATTTCAATTGTACTAAAATGAAAAACTTTTTTTAGCTGGATTTTTATATAGAAAAATAATGCCTCGTTTGTATCGCTCTCAATTTATTTTAGTTACTTAGCATGCAAGAAATCTCCATATACTGTTAGAATGGTAACACCATCGTTAAAGTTCTAGCATAATAAATTTTTTTCATATTTTAAATGATAAACCTTATTTGCAATAATACTCATCAAAATCTATTTTAGATGCAAGTGTGTGTACATAAACAACCATATTCATAAAACTTGATTCAACACAAGTCAGCTTGATTCAAGTTAAGTCAACTCATTGCACTCGATCTCAACTCAAAAGAAACTCGTCGGTCTAAAAATAAAGTCACCTTAGCTCACCCCAAGCAAGCAACTATGATCTATGAACTCATCCTAAGCAGGGGAATATTGTCTATCAAATTAGCCCTAACGACTACTCAAATAAGCAACTTGTGAAAAGTTATTGATTGGTTATTCAGCTATCATACACCTATAAATCCAAGCTTGTTAAACCCTTGATCCTAACAACTTATTTGAGATTTTGATGGTAAAAAATATTAATGATTGTATAAGATTTGAATGTGTAGGTTTTTTTTATATAATAATTACATGTACATATTAGAAAAATGACGAAATAAGGTTGCGCGCGCGCATATATATATATATATATAATTGAAAACCTTGATTGTAAATTGTACTAGACACTTAATAATAATGAAATTGCATAATCCTCATATACTCATTTTCTTAATCAGGTCAATTCAAAATTTGAACATATCATAATATATGATAAATATAGTATTGGCATAAAAAATTCCTTAATTAAGACCTGCTTATCCTGATGCAAACTAAAAATTAAATTCAAAAAAATATTGTAATGTTCTATTCATATTGTATTGAGCAATCAAATAGAGATGAATTTCGTTAGAAATCACATGTATGAACTAATCGTACTATCTGATCTATATCATTTAGTCTAATAGGATAAAGATGATTTTTTTTATCTTGCTAATGAACTAATCTACTGTATGATCTAGCTAGCTTAGTTAAAAACCATAATTTAATGTTTCTAAACAAAGTCCCTAAGTATAATTACTCTTCTATGAACCCTAAAATGTGATTTTTATGTGAGACGTTGTTACCTAAGAGATTTGAAGAAAGAGTTTGTTCTTGCTACCTTTTATATTTCTTTTTATCCAACAAAAAAGCATGCACCAAAGTACATCCTCTAGCAAATGTCTAGTGCTAACAACCATTACTAAAGCATAAAAAAAATATGGACTTAATCAAACCGAAATAGCAAAAAAAATTGAGAACAAACCTTCGGTTATCTCCTCGGCGGCGCGCGACTAGGCAGAGAGGCGGGCTAGCTTAGTTAAAAACCATAATTTAATGTTTCTAAACAAAGTCCCTAAGTATAATTACTCTTCTATGAACCCTAAAATGTGATTTTTATGTGAGACGTTGTTACCTAAGAGATTTGAAGAAAGAGTTTGTTCTTGCAACCTTTCTATTTTGATATTTTCCACCATTCAAAGAGAAGTTTTTTGTGTGAAACTATGCCTTTTAGTTTTTTGTGCTAATCATGTTCTTGATCAAGTGATTTGAAAGTCTAAAGTTTTTATTTTAAATGGCAAATAATGTTTTTGAGAAGTCAATTCCTTCATATCTGAGGGACAAAATAATGGTTCGATGGCAATGACAATGGTTGGTTGGTGGTCTGATGGTTGCAGTTGAGTGATGTTCTATAGATGTCAAATGGGTGACAATACAATAACAATATAGTGTGTTGGTTCTATGATGACAATCAGGTGCTATTATTCCATGCAGACACCGGACGGGAAAACCATCTGGTTAAGCACTCGGTGCTGAGTGGTACCGAACGGTATTGAGCGCGGGTACCGAGCTCTACACCGAATGCGTAATATTTTTGAGTGATGTGATGCATTTTTAATGATCTCCGGACGCCCTCACAGTGATTCGACTATCAAATGGGTTCCAATGGTATAAATATATAACTGTTATAACTTAAAATTCCAAATGGGATTTTGCTATTATTAAGTATATATGCTTATGTGGTGATGGCTCATCAAGCACTCTGGCAGAACATATTGTATTTTCACACGACCTTCTGTGTGGAAGCTGAAGAACTTAGCCATGTTCTCTTGCCCCACCGGGAATGGCGGTCTCTGCTAAAACCCCATCCAACCCTCTACTTACCACATGCTTCTTTCCCCTCCCCTTCAAATTTCAGAGACCTACAATCCTCAACCTCTATGCCAATCGAATCAAATCCCATATCGCTCTCAAAAACGCCAAAGAGCTCCACGCTCTCACCCCAAACTCGATATCAAACCCCACGTCTGATCTGAACACCGAAATTAGCCGTCTTTGCCTCAACGGGGATCTTGTGGAGGCATTGCAACTCCTGAACGCAACAGGAAAAGCTGCTTTAGAAGAGGACACCTACATCGCACTCATACGGCTGTGTGAATGGCGGAGAGCAGCTCCAGAAGGCTCCCAAATTTACTTCCATATCTCTTCTTCAAATACTCCTTTGAGCCTTCGACTTGGAAATGCGTTGTTAAGCTTGTTCGTTAGGGTTCATGAACTCCTTGTTGCTTGGACAGTGTTCGGAAAAATGGTTGAAAGAGATGTTTTTTCTTGGAATATAATATTGGGCGGGTATGCAAAGGCGGGTTTCTTTGATGAAGCTTTGAATTTGTATTACAGAATGCTGTGGGTTGGGGTCAGGCCTGATCTATATACTTTTCCCTGTGTACTGAGGACCTGCGGTGGTGTTCCAGATTTGGTTAGAGGGAAAGAGATTCATGCTCATGTGATTAGGTTTGGTTTTGGCTCAGAAGTCGATGTTTTAAATGCTTTAATAACCATGTATGCCAAGTGTGGTTATTTTGATCATGCTCGTAAAGTGTTTGATGATATGCCTGTCAGAGATTGCATTTCTTGGAATGCTATGATATCCGGGTATTTTGAGAATGGTGAACATTTGGAAGGTTTGAATCTGTTTTTGATGATGCGAGATCTTTCTGTGGAGCCGGATCTGATGACGATGACGAGCGTAATTTCTGGTTATGGGTTCCTTTCTGATAAAAAACCAGGGAGGGAGATGCATGGATATGCTATAAAGAAGGGTTTCGGCGTCGACATCTCGTTTTTCAATTCACTAATTCAGATGTACTCAAATTTCGGAAGCTTGATGGAAGCTCAAAAACTATTCTTGAGGATGACTTCTAAGGATGTGGTTTCCTGGACCGCCATGATTTCCGGTTTTGAGAAGAATAGATCCCCAGAAATGGCTTTATATATGTTTGAACAGATGAAGGCAGAGAATGCAACTCCTGATGAGATCACCATAGCGAGTGTACTCTCTTCATGTGCTTCCTTGCGACGTGTAGATGTTGGGATTGAGCTGCAAGAGTTGGCAAGAAAGAATGGCCTAATGCCATATACTATCGTTGGGAATACCCTTCTTGATATGTATTCCAAGTCAAGTTGTATTGACAAAGCTGTAGAAATATTCAAGTTAATGCCCGAGAAGGATGTGATATCTTGGAGTTCTATCATATCGGCATTCCGAATAAACCACATGAGCTTTGAAGCTTTGACATTCTTTCGCCAAATGCAAGTTGATACAAAACCCAACTCCATTACACTTATTGCAGCTTTATCAGCTTGCGCTGCCTTAGGAGCTCTGATGTGTGGGAAGGAAATCCACGCACATGCTCTCAGAAGTGAACGGGCTTTGCAGGGCTTCTTGCCAAATGCCATTTTAAATCTTTATGTAAAGTGTGGAAAGACTGAATATGCTTTGACACAATTCAAATTACATGAAAGGAAAGATGTTGTCTCATGGAATATAATGTTGAGTGGATATATAGGGCGAGGGCAAGGGCATGGAGATCTTGCAATTGCACTCTTTTGCAAGATGGAAGAGGACGGGATCCAACCCGATGAAGTCACATTTGTGGCTCTTTTGTGTGCTTGTAGCAAATCTGGAATGGTGAGCCAGGGATTGAACTATTTTGGCAGCATGAGTGCAAAGTATGGCGTTACTCCTAATCTTCGACATTACGGTTGCATGGTGGACTTACTTGGTCGTGCTGGGCATTTGGAAGAAGCTCACAAATTCATTCAGGATATGCCTATCAAGCCTGATGCAGCTATATGGGGAGCATTGCTAAATGCTTGCAGGATCCATGGCAATATCGAGCTTGGTGAACTTTCTGCAAAGTTTATCTTTGAGAAAGATTGTAAGAGTGTTGGGTACTATATGCTCTTGTGTAACTTATATGCAGATAATGGCCTGTGGGATAAGGTGGCAAAGCTCAGGAAGTTGATGAAAGAGAGGGGGCTAACGGTAGATCCTGGGTGTAGTTGGGTGGAAGCAAAGGGGACAATTCATGCTTTTTTAAGTGGAGATGAGTCGCATCCACAAATGAAGGAGATTAATGCAGTTCTAACTGGGTTATACGATAGGATAGAGGAAGCTAGTCTTGATGGATTCGAAGATGATATTGAAGCTTCAAAAGCTGATATTTTTTGTGGGCACAGTGAGAGATTGGCAGTTGCTTTTGGTCTAATTAGTAGTACTCCTGGCACACCCATTCAGGTTACAAAAAATCTGTACATGTGTAGAAGCTGTCATCAAATAGTTAAGTGGATATCAAAGATTGTGCGTAGGGATATTACTGTGAGGGATACTGAGCAGTTTCATTTCTTCAAAGATGGGATATGCTCTTGTGGAGATGAGGAATATTGGGGAAGAAATAGTGGCTGAGAAAGTTGACAAGATGATCTCTATAGCGATAATAATGTTACGCAGATCCCTTAAGTACAGTGAAGGGAGTGTGAAAAAAAGGATAGGCATACAGTGCAGATAAGGTTGACAATCCCATTCATTGATGCTGTTTTTGGCAGTTTCAGTCAAGGTGCTGCATGTCAAAGAACTGCAAGATGTACAAATCATCAAGTAAAAGGATGAAAATTACTGATGTTACATTATTTAAGGTGTATTTTATTAAATTTTACTCTTTATTAGCTGAATCCTTGGGGATAATGAGTAAACGATACATTGATGAAACAAACTAGAAAGTAATAGAAAGTAAAAGCAGCCGAAAAAAATAAATGACACTAGGATTTAATGTGAAAAAACTCAAATTAGTGAAAAAATCATAGAGCAACACCAAACCAAGAAATTCACCATGAAAATTGGGAGAAATAAGTACAAACATATCTTTTCTCTCACTCTCTCATTGCTTCTCATCTCACATGCACTGTTCTCAATCTCTAACTATTCAAAAGACAAGTGAAAGCCAAGTAAATAACCCCAAGGGACGCAATCCTTCAGAAAAATGAAAAACAAGACCGTACGGTCCATCTCGCAGCGCTGCGGCGCTTGAACCTCTGTCTTGATCTGCTGCTGCGCCAAATTTAGATCGTTGCGGTGCTCCGCTTTCTGTCGTTCAGCACTGGGGCGCTCGGGTACACGGCACCAGGACATTGCATGAAAAAAAAAATTCGGTACAAAGCACCCGAACCCAATCAGAGGGTAAACCCCTGCATCCCTCAATAAACATGACAAATTTGAGGTCCAAGGCAAAAGAACAATCCTATTAATCAACACAATCAGATTCCACACGAAACAAATCCCTGGAAGAAAAGGAATATTACACTATTGTTGATTTTTAATGTCCAAAATAATCCTTAAACACAAATAGATTCTGATATGATTGTGCAGAATAATAACTTTTGTTTTCTTTGATTTTGGGTTCTGATCTACTCCATTCAGCAAGTAGTTATATTATAAGGCATACGCTATAATTTAGAGGAACTGCCTTTTTTTTTGCACGTTTACAACACAGCTTGAATTCTAAGTTGTAGATTTTACCAAGAGGGAATTCGCTTCAGTTCCTAACTTCCTTTAACTTCAAGTTTCTTAACAGCATAAGTGGACATTAGACAATAACAAATGTTACTTGGAAAACTAATCTATTATCACACACTCACATTGATATCACCTCGACAGTAAGTTTGATAAGGTTTTGTTTGCGAAAGCTTTTAGCCATTGCTTTTTCCTAAATTTCTGAAAAACTTTTAAACTAAAAACTGTTTTAGAAAATAGTAAAAACATTGTCCCAAGTAAAACCTAAAAAAGATTCTCACCTTCAAGCTGCTTAGAGAGTTCTCTGATACCTTAAATTAAGTCCCCTTTGCTTATTCATGGTTATTGTAATTAGTTATTGCATTTTATTTTTTTAGGGGCTATTTAGTTAGAGGTAAAGTATAAAGTAAAGTAAATGCATGGGTTTTGAGAAGTTTGGTATTCATTTGGATGAAAAGTAAATCCAACGTAAAGTAAAGTAAATGCATTGTATTTCATTCTAGTTCATTCTTAAGTTAAACCATGCTCGCCCAATTTTGAGCAAGAACTGTTTACACCCTCCAAAGATTGCTTGAGCACAGTCGACGACTACCATCTCCACAACCACTTGATGCCATCCTCCAACCGCCACCAACGAACACCGTCACTGTTGCAGTCAACGACCACCGTCATTGCTGCAGTCAACGACCACCATCACCGTCCACAGGCTGAACACTGCCACCACATGTAGCTGCCAACCATTGGTTGCCACCGCTGCCGGCCGCCCACACCTCCGACCGTCATTCACGGACACTGCCGGCCAATGCCACTACTACCGCCGCAGTTTAACGCCGACCACTGGCCAACTCTTACTATTCCAGACAGAACTTTTTTATACTTTACTTTGCATTGGCTTTACTTTTAATTTAAAAAAAAAAAAAGTCATGCATTCATCTTACACTCATCCAAATAATCCTTTAACATTTTGTGCCTAAATAGCCATTGGAATTATGAACAAACTTAACTTTCTCAGCTACTTCTCTTTTTCTACCATTGCACTTAATGATAACAAACATACAAATTTGTAATCAATTAAATCAATCATATAAGTACAAACACACAAAAGTGTCTAATAGTGTTGAATATATTATAACATAGAATAATCTCCCAATAGTCTCTTGATTTTTACTTTGAGATTAAGGCTTCGTTTGGGACATGGCTTTTTTATTGCTTTCTAAAACGGAGTTTTAGTACAATTTTTTTTATTTTTGTACTAAAACTCCGTTTTAGAAAGCAATAAAAAAGCCGTCCCAAACGAAGCCTAAGGCTTTATTGGGACGGCTTTTTTATTGCTTCTTAAAGCAGCTTTGTAGTACAAAAAATAAATTTTTTTAACTAGAAAGATGGTTTAAGAGCTGTAAAAAAGTCACCTCAAACGAAGCCTAAATTGATCATATATAATATTCATGGGACAAATCATGTCGACGAAGGATTGATCTACATATTTTATGGACTTATTTAGAGTTCCACTTCATAAAATGAGAAAATTTTGAAGAAAAGAGCTGAAGGTGTCAGTTCTAAGAAAAAGTCTAAAAGTCTTACCTTGAAGGTCTAAGAAAAGGTAGACAAGAATAAAAGGTCTTAGAGCCATTTTTATCAGACTAGTTAATTAAGAAAATAATTTAGCACTAAGTAGGCTATTGATACATAATCCCAATTTCCAATGATTTTACTTCTCATATCATTTATTGTATTTCAGTTCAACAGATTTAACATAAATAAAGGTTTTTTAATATTTTGATTTTTTTTTCACTATGTAACTTTCTTTATGTTGATGCCCTAATTATTCTTCACATATTAATCTTCGTTTGGGACGACTTTCTTATTGCTCTTTAAAGCAGCTTCCTAGTACAAAAATTTTAGGGAGCTGCTTTAAGAAGCAGAAATAAAGTCATCCCAAACGAAACCTTAGTATGAAGAATGCGGAAGTGTAGTCGAGAAAAACGATGCATTTTGGCTCAGAATAAAATTTTTACCATATTCTTCAAAAAAAAAAAAAAAGCACATGTATATTTGATCAATTACGACTACTATGAGACATATCAGATTAAATTCTTTATCATCTGTATCGAAAGAAATATTATTTTATCTTTGAAACTTATTATTTTACTAATTATATTTAATTATTTGGCCTTAATCCAATAATTGAGGCTTCTACAGTGTCTAATATATTTTAGGCTTCATTTGGGATTGCTTTTTTTATTATTTTCTAAAGCATTTTTAATATAAAAATTTATAATTCAAAAAACTTTTTGCTAAAAATTTATTTAAAAAAATAGTAAGAAAACTGTCCCAAATGAATCCTTAGATTGGATTACTTATTTTGTACGGACGCTGAACGTTGTCCGGAGATCAATAAGAATGCATCACGTCACCTCTTGTTCGATATCGCGGCTCGATACTACTCAGTACTGCAGATGTGGCTCATTCTGATTGGCCTCCGGACGGCATTCTATTCTGAATCCGATCTCTACACAGAACAATTTCTCCCTAAATTGACATTTTGTTCTGCACCAAATAAAGAGTCTTTTATCAAAAACCACAAACATGTTATAGTTGCAAAATATATCAACATTGCCATTCAAAATTCCAACATGAACCATTCGCAAATAACAATGAGGAAAATACAAATAAAGAGATGATAAATTAGGATATCTCCAACAAAGAATTCCAATAAACGACTGACAATAAATTGGTACAAAGAACAAGATCTTAATTAGTCTCTCGAACTTTATTGTCTTAATATATTTTTTTAATATTAGCAGCATATAATGAGTATGTATTACTTGAGGGATTTACATATGTATCACATATTTCTTATCTATTAAATATTTTAATTATTGATATATAATTCAAAAGTATTTAAATCACATTAAAAATATATATGAAATTATTTATTTTGTTCTAGATAAACTAATGTTAGAGGAATTTTTGATGTAGTTCAAAGATTATGATGCTATATAAATAAATAAAAAGAATTAGAGATTATTTGATTTGTTGGAAAATGAATAGAACATATTTAAAATATTTTAAGACGTTTGAACGAGTGTAAACATAATACATGAATTTTTTTGGCTTAAAGTCAAATGAATATGTATAGTAAAGTAAAATGATGGTGGTGGGTGCTGGCCGGTGACCAGTGGTCGACGGTGCTGGCAGTGGCGGTGGCGATCTTTGGAGGGCGGCAATAACCTATTTGGCTCTTGGTGAAAAAGAAATTGGATCAAAGCTGGACGAGTTTACGATATATTAAAAAAAATATTATGGAGTTAAAAAGGAAGTCACTAGAATTTTATAATGCATTTTTTTATCAAATCAAACACTCAAATATCATTTTTAGACTGCATTTCTTTTTGAGTAAACCAAACTACATCATGTAAATATACATTTAACAAATGATGTATAATAAATTAAAATTATAATATATTATATAAGACTTGGTATGCAAATAATTTAATGAAATTGATGGACTCAAAATAAATCTACATTCATTAAGTTTATGATAATTGCTTGGTTAGCATTTCATTAATCATAATATACACACTTTGGAAAATGTGATTAAATGAGTAAAGCATGTGAAGGCAAATAAGTTTGCCAATATGGAAAATTCTCATTAAAGAATATTAATAATACTCAAATTAATATATTTTCTTTAATTAACATATTAATGATATAATTAGCATATATAAAGGTAAAATGAATAAATTTAATAAGTATAAAATAGTAAATGGGTCGAAATACATGATCTGAACCCGCCTGCATATTAAATGGATCAACCTGAACTTAAAATTTTCATGTTAGGTCCGAGTCAAATTGGTGCGTCGGGTCATTTATTGACACCCATAAGTTTATTTTCTATCAAGCGAAGCGAATAAATCATCATATTCAATTTTTGCAATATTTAAATGTCTTGAATTTAATATAATTTTAAATAAACTTTCATTTAAATTATCCCTTAATAGTTGCTATTTGTTCTATTTAACTTATTCTAATTGAAGGGGGAAAAAATCTCTTAGTATTGATGTTGCAAAATTTGCCAACGCAGATGCTTGTGAAGGTTTCAAATGGAATCAACGCCAGCAACAGTTTAAATATAAGCCAGCTGTGACGATAAGTTCTATGT